ATTCCAAGCAGTTGCAGGGCTTCTCCCCACCATGAGGCTTCTCCCCCAGCTCTGAGCTCTGGCTGGATCTCTGGCCATGTTCCTGGCATAGGGGGGATCTTTCCTCCTCGCAGCTCCCTGGGCTGGGTTTGCAGACCCTTCTCATGCGGCTTCTCCAGGGCTTTTCCACCTCCTCCATCCAGCCACGGCTTAGGAATGAAAAATCCTGGTTTGGGGGAAAAAACAAGAGGAGAGCATTTTGGGCTGGGGGTACCGCCTTGCCCAAGGTGCTCTCAGGAAGTCAATGGGCATCTTGTGTCTGAAAGAACCTCCAGGACACCAAGATTCAGCACCAACATCCTCCAAACATCAAAAGAGATCAAAAACTTCCAAAACACCAAAAAGCTGATATCCTCCCAAAACAGAAAGATTCTGCCCCCACAAAAAAACAAAGCACCAACATTCAGCCCAATAAAGCTCAGAAACTCCAAGATTCAGCCCCGGGAAAATCGTGCATCTCCCTGCCCGGGCACTCGCTGCATGGGGGGTGAGGGGGGCAGTGAGGCCGGGCCGGAGCAGGGGGTGCCTGAGAGAGGCCCCGAGCCCGGCAGAAGCCCCTGCACAGCCATGCAAGTGGCTCCTGGCCGCACTCGGGGATCCCCCTGGCCATCCCCGCTGGAGCAGCGCACGAAGCTCTTCCCGCACTCGGGGCACTCGCAGGGCTTCCCTTACTGGTGACTCCGTTGGTGTTGGGTCAAGTTAGATCTCTGTGAGAAGCTCTTCCCACACTGGGGACACTCGTAGGGCCTCTCCCCACTGTGGATGCGCCGGTGGAGAGCGAGGTGGGAGTTGCGGTTGAAGCCCTTCCCGCAGTCGGGGCAGCGGAAGGGCCTCTCGTCTGTGTGAATCCGCTCATGTAGGAGGACATGGGAGCTGCGCTGAAACCTCTTCCCACACTCGGGACACTCGTAGGGCCTCTCCCCAGTGTGGATGCGCCGGTGACTGACAAGGGTGGAGTTGAGCTTGAAGCCCTTCCCGCAGTCGGGGCAGCGGAAGGGCCTCTCCTCTGTGTGAATCCGCTCATGTCTGAGGACATGGGAGCTGGTCTGAAACCTCTTCCCACACTGGGAACACTCATAGGGCCTCTCCCCAGTGTGAATGAGCTGGTGTGCACTCAGGGCGGCGCTCCACCCAAAGCTCTTCCCACATTCCAAGCAAGTGTAGGGCCGTTCCCCCGTGTGGACCACCTGATGTATCATCAGGCGAAAGATATTTCTGAAGCTCTTCCCACATTTCCCACACTCATAGGGCCGTTCCCCAGTGTGGATCACCTGGTGATTCCTCAGGCTGGAGCTCTGGCTGAAG